TAATTCGTCAAAGTTTGAAACCTAATATGCGCCGGCGTCGCGCGAGGCGAGTCGCAAACCTCGCCGGGTGGATTGCGTCGCCGGTGCGTCGCCGGTGCGTCGCGCGCGCATTGATACGACAGACGCGGGACAACTTGGGATTTGTTGTCGCTGCTGAAAGGCTTCTCGGGCGCACCCTGCAGACGCGCGCTGCGCGTGCCGCTGGGAAGCCTCCAGAGGCGGAGGAACGGGCTAGACACTGTACGCACGTACAGCAGCCTGAGCGTCGTCGTCGTCGTCGGCGTCGTCACTACGGCGACCACCATCGCCTCATCGTCGTCGTCGTCGTCGTCACCGTTACATTATTTGAGGAGAGACTCGGTCAAACGGTAGACGCGGAGGGAAAAGTTTACCGCCGATGTCTGCCGTGGCCACGACAGTTCGCGGCACGGGGCGCACGGGCCGATGCGCCGCCGATAGTAGTTTCACGAATGATGATGAAAATGTGAATTGAGAAGTCATTTCACGAATAGATGTTACCATCGTTCGTCATGATAATGAACTCGGTTTTATAAAAAACACCTTTCAAGTTGGTAATCTCAGAGCGCAGATATTAGTATCGACATCACAACGATCATATCAGTATCGATATGAAATAAGTGTTAACTGGGCATTTCCAACAGTGGCCTCAGCATTGTAAATTGTAGTTTGCATGTTTCATGTGGAACGTGTAGTGCAGTTGCCTGCTGTGTTCTTTCTGTACCTCTTTAAATCCAGGTTTCCCTTGGTTTGCGGCTTTTGGCTAGCCATCGAACAAAGACGGTCACTACATCGCGTGCTTTCGGATGTGCTTCTGCGGCCGTCTGGAACGCTCCTCCTTCTGATATTAGGAAGCCGCTGGAGCTATGCACTTTGAAATCATCATCTAGATTGACAAACGTATTTATTGAGAACTCCTTTTTGTTTTTAGCTTGTTGTCTTTCCCCTGCACCTCCGATTAGCACGTTTGTCTACGTGGCTCAGCAGGCGCTTAGGGCTGCATCTTCAACCACTGCTCGGCTCAGGCTTGGCTCTGGCTCAAGTGAGCCGGCTCAAAGCCCACGCCCGTAACTTCAGCCGGCTCCGGGCAAGGTCCCAGCCGTGCTCTGGGTTTCCATGAGGCTGAGCAGCGAGCCTGAGGCCGAGCAGCGAACCTGAGCCCAAGCCACGGCTGAGCCGCTCACTCACGCGGTCTTTGACAACAACCGAGCGACTCAAGCCTGAGCCAAACCGTGTTCACGGCCCTTACTCACCGAGCGTGTCGTGTACCCCTGTGGGACCTCGTGGCGTCCACACTTGGCACCTTCTACTTTCCTCCAGACTCGTATACGCTTCCTGTTGCTGATGCTGCTGCTAATAATGCATTCATCCATGCCTTTTACTTAAACACCATCTTCCCATCTTAAAGAACTATACACTATTTTTCTTTATTTTACCAGGTAAGGCCCACTGAGCTATATAGCTCTTTCTCAGAAGCGACATGGCCACAGATGATAGCTCAGCTTAGTGGCTTATCACGCGGACAATTATAGCAGCCAAATACTGGAAGCGCGTGATGTTGATTCTAAACGTGGAGGGAAAAAACCAGAGGACCCAGAGAAAAATCCACACGACCACGGGGAGAACATGCAAACTCAAAATATACAGGTGTCAGAGTCGGGATCGAAGCCACGACCACCTGTATACCAGGCGAGGTAGTTAACATCTCGCCGCTGTAGCGAGATGTTCACCCTTTCCCGTTCCAAAACATCTAAAAACTGCAGGGTGGATCGCGTTCACCGCTAAATCTCAGAATTCGCAAGCGGTTCGGCGTTAATTTTATTTGGAGCATAGCGCCGCTGTTTTTAGAGAAAACTGCAGCGACACGACCGCACTCTATGGTAGCTGGCGCCAAACTGTGCCGCACGCCCTCCCGTATGCCCTTTTACTTCCAATTCGGTTTCAGTGACACGTATGTGTACGCCTACGCCATCGGAACAGAATCGGAAGACAATCTGATGACGTACGGGAAAGGGTTGACGTCCTTGCTCTTCGGCGAGGAGGCGGATTGGCTGTTTATTTATTGTGATACTTCTCCTCAACGACACTGATTACTATTTGATATGTACTGTACGGTTTTTTTTGGAGTTGCGTTCGGACCCAAATTTAATCGAGAGGATCCTTGCCGATAAACACCACCGGGCATTTAACCAACATTGGTTTCGGCAAGCCTACTGAATTTTCTAAACTGGTTGGACAAGTCTGCTTGTACTGAAGCTATGCTACTGAAATCATTCTCTCATGGTAGGCCCTGGCGGCTGATTGGATGTAAAAAATATGTTTATGATCATCATTATGTGGAGGGAGATGTACAGTGAGGGAAAAAAAGTATTTAATCCCCTGCTGATTTTGTACGTTTGCCCACTGACAAAGAAATGATCAGTCTATAATTTTAATGGTAAGTTTATTTTAACAGTGAGAGACAGAATAACAACAAGAAAATCCAGAAAAACGCATGTCAAAAATGTTATAAATTGATTTGCATTATAATGAGGGAAATAAGTATTTGACCCCCTCTCTTTCAGAAAGATTTCTGGCTCCCAGGTGTCTTTTATACAGGTAACGAGCTGAGATTAGGAGCACACTCTTAAAGGGACTGCTCCTAATCTCAGCTTGTTACCTGTATAAAAGACACCTGTCGACAGAATCAATCAATCAGATTCCAAACTATCCACCATGGCCAAGACCAAAGACCTCTCCAAGGATGTCAGGGACAAGATTGTAGACCTACACAAGGCTGGAATGGGCTACAAGACCATTGCCAAGCAGCTTGGTGAGAAGGTGACAACAGTTGGTGCGATTATTCGCAAATGGAAGAAACACAAAAGAACTGTCAATCTCCCTCGGCCTGGGGCTCCATGCAAGATCTCACCTCGTGGAGTTGCAATGATCATGAGAACGGTGAGGAATCAGCCCAGAACTACACGGGAGGATATTCTCAATGATCTCAAGGCAGCTGGGACCATAGTCATCAAGAAAACAATTGGTAACACACTACACCGTGAAGAACTGGAATCCTGCAGCGTCCGCAAGGTCCCACTGCTCAAGAAAGCACATATACATGCCCGTCTGACGTTTGCCAATGAACATCTGAATGATTCAGAGGACAACTGGGTGAAAGTGTTGTGGTCAGATGAGACCAAAATGGAGCTCTTTGGCATCAACTCAACTCGCTGTGTTTGGAGGAGGAGGTAGAATGCTGCCTATGACCCCAAGAACACCATCCCCACCGTCAAACATTGAGGTGGAAACATTGTGCTTTGGGGATGTTTTTCTGCTAAGGGGACAGGACAACTTCACTGCATCAAAGGGACGATGGACAGGGCCATGTACCGTCAAATCTTGGGTGAGAACTTCCTTCCCTCAGCCAGGGCATTGAAAATGGGTCGTGGATGGGTATTCCAGCATGACAATGACCCAAAATACACGGCCAAGGCAACAAAGGAGTGGCTCAAAAAGAAGCACATTAAGGTCCTGGAGTGGCCTAGCTAGTCTCCAGACCTTAATCCCATAAAAAAATCTGTGGAGGGAGCTGAAGGTTCGAGTTTCCAAACGTCAGCCTCGAAACCTTAATGACTTGGAGAAGATCTGCAAAGAGGAGTGGGACAAAATCCCTCCTGAGATGTGTGCAAACCTGGTGGCCAACTACAAGAAACGTCTGACCTCTGATTGCCAACAAGGGTTTTGCCACCAAGTACTAAGTCATGTTTTGCAGAGGGGTCAAATACTTATTTCCTTCATTATCAAATCAATTTTTAACATTTTTGACATGAGTTTTTCTCAGTTTTGTTGTTGTTATTCTGTCTCTCACTGTTCAAATAAAAACCTACCATTAAAATTATAGACTGATCATTTCTTTGTCAGTGGGCAAACGTACAAAATCAGCAGGGGATCAAATACTTTTTTCCCTCGCTGTTTGTCACTTAAATTCTCCATAACGATGCTCACCGTTATTCATGTTATGCCCACAATAGCTTAGCTTTCTCACGTATACAGCTGTCAATTTTTTTTTTTTTCCACCGTTGAATCATTCGTATGCAACTCGTGAGATTATATTCTTGCCTCATCTCTAACCCACTCTTATTTGAGACATACCTTTTTTATTTGTTTGGGATTTTATAAAAAAAACCTTTCTCACTCCTATTGTTAGTCCTTAGTATTCTGTTGTTAGTCCTTAGTGATCTCACACAGTAGGTGTCGGTCGTAGCTAAATGTCATCAGAATTTTCTTTCACGATTTTGGAACTCACAACTGCGGATCGTTTAGCTCATTGCAGCTTAGATTTTTTTGGCGCTTCATATTCATACATTGCTACCAATATTTGAGAGTGCATAAAACTTTTACCCACGGTTGAGCAAAGAGGGTGCAGCAGACGGGGGGGGGGATGGGCAACAAGGTGACCAGGAGAGGGAAGTGATGCTGGGACGGAAGTTCCCAATGTGGACAAAGAGGAGGGCACGGCTCAAGATGAGCAGCAGGAACAAAAGTGGAGTGGCCAGGCAGGTAGGGAAGGAAGGGGAGAGGGAATGACTGGGTCAAAATGATGGGGTGAGCAAGCATTTGCAGGTCTGAACCTTTAAGCATACGTGTGTGTGTGTATATATAAAGGGAGCGGCGGTGCAGTGGTTAGCGCTGCACGACGACCCTGGCGACCCGAGTTTGATTCCTCGCTCACGGGCAACACCAGTGACAAATATCTGAACCGGTCCTTGACCTATCTACGAGAGGCCTCCCCTAGGCCGTGGTGACGGCCACCAACCCACCTGGTTGTGCCGTGCCGTGCCGGCCTTCATAGGTGCTCCCGAACACCACTTGCCCCCAACAGTCTGTGAACGCTACTCGGTGTGTCTTTGTTAGTTGTGTGTGTGTGTATATACACACCCCCTGTCCCCCGTTGTTGCCGTGCGTGTCGCTCCTCTCCGTGTGCGTGCCGTGCCTCACAGGCCGTTTGGCGGCACCCTGGGCCCGTCGCCTCTCGTCGGCGTCCCCCGCTACCTGCTCAGCGTCGCGGGGGGCTGCGCCGGCGGCGGGGGGCTCCTCACGCTCTCGCCGACTCCGCCGCCGCCCTTCCTGCTGGCTGCCGCGCGGCACGACCCCCGCCCGGCGGGGAGGCGCGCCGTGGGCTCGCGGCTCTCTCCCTCATCGCTGCCCACGCACCTCCACCGCGTGCTCTCCCTGGGCACCGCGCCCACCGTCTACCACGCAGGTGAGACCGAGGTGGATTCGAGGTGGATCCGTGGTGGATCCGAGGTGGATTCGAGGTGGATCCGTGGTGGATTCGTGGTGGATCCGAGGTGGATCCGTGGTGGATCCGTGGTGAATCCGTGGTGGATCCGAGGCGGATCCGAGGTGGATTTGTGGTGGATTCAAGGTGGTACCATCGAGGATCCGAGGTGGATCCAAGGTGAGACCGAGGTGGATCCGAGGTGGATCCGAGGTGGATCCGAGGTGGATCCGAGGTGGATCCGAGGTGGATCCGAGGTGGATTTGTGGTGGATTCGAGGTGGTACCATCGAGGATCCGAGGTGGATCCGTGGTGGATCCGTGGTGGAATTGTGATTCATTCTCACGATATTATTATCTCTTTCTGAGCATCTAATTTTAATTTTGTCTTCAGCCTAATTTTATCGACCATCAGCGCCACGAGACAAAGAGTCAAATCGGATCTCTCGCATGGCATTGCTGCAACCCTTCATCTCAGGGAATGGAAGTGGATATCACAGAGCTACCTCTCGATTTCCCTTTAAGTGACCTCTGGTCCACAGAGTAGAGGGCAGTAGCAATTTCATTCCCACTCTGCCAAAGTCAAGTGAGGATCCACATTGATTGTGGTGACATTCAAGGATGATTTTCCGGTCCGATCTCATCAGCTCACAGGGTTAGTGCCTGGTAAATACTTGGACAGGGAGGCTGCCTGGGAATACCAGGTGTTACAGGCTTGGAGCTGCGAGGTTGCAGCAGGGCAATGAATGTGCGAGTCTGTGTTGCTCTTTGAGTATTATCCTCTCGTGTACGTGTATATGTTTGTTGAACTTCTTTCGCACAGTACGTAGCCAGCCGTTCTCATCGGAGGTGCGGGGGAAGGACGGCAAACACATTAAGAGCCGCCCGCCTGTTGCTGTCGCAACGACGGGTAGCTGCAGCCTGAGCTGCTGCCGCCGGTGCCAGGCGGCGGCAGATCACAGCGGTTTGGGTCCCATTCGTTAGTCGTCCGTCCGTCATTAACACGTTCCCTGGCGGCGATGTCACCTGGGCGCTTGCCACCTTTGTTCTGTCGGCCACCTGCTTCTGCGGTGCGGCTCTGGGGGTGACGAGACAAAGGTGAAGGTGGTGGCGGTGGTGGTGGTTGTGCGGAGGTTTTTGACGGCCCCTATTCGCTCGCCGCCGTCGTAAGCGCCTCCGCTCGCGCCGTGCGCCCAGAGGTGCTGCAGCACGGGTGGGGGAAGGTTCCCCCCCCCACCCCCGTCCCATAAGAGAGCCAAATACAGGCTTTAAAGGTTAAGGTGCAACCCTGAAATGTCGTGCTTCGCGCAGCTAACGGCGGTAAGGCCTCTCCGCTAAGTGCGGCTCTAGAGAGGGGGAGGGTGTTTGGCCCGCTCTTGCGCGCCGGTAGAGGTGGGAGTACCCACGCTTTACCCCACTGCACGCGACCTGCCCATCGACTCGCTGTGGTGCACCAACTTGTACTGCCGGGCGGACCGAGGCAGCGCGCTGCTGACCCGGTGTCCTGCGTTCGATTCCTGGACCGCGGCTAATTTCAGTGGCGAGCGAGCGATATCTGAAACTGGTCCTGGGCCTCCCCGCACCCGCTTGGCCAACCCGCACTGACCAGCATGGTGAAGTATGGTCAAGTAACACCCACGATCCACACGGGGTGGGGAAGGCCCTCATTCACAAGTGGGTTGAAAGAGTACTGTAAACTATACTCACAATCGTAGACAGTGGTGCTTGTGCACGTGTAGGTATACGTATATATATACGATCCCGTTCCTTTTTTCCCTTCCTCAATGACAAAACGCTGACATTCGTGCGATAGTCACACATGCTTGCCGTGTTGTCGCCTGTGACTTTGCCGCGTGTTGACTCAGGCCTTGTAATATACCGCGTGCTGATAGCCGGTTCCTCCCAAGTTCCTCGCATTCTCTAGGCCGGGTCGTTTTGTTTTCTTGCGTCGGTTCTGCTTTGTTTCGTAACTCCGTGTTGAGTTTTGCCGTAACGTCATTAGGTCACGGACTTTTCTCAAAACGCTCCTGAAATGTGGCGTGAAAAAAAATAGTCGCGGGGCATTGTGGGTAACAAATAAATTGTTAAATGCGCATGCCCATAGTCCATCTCCTTGCAAATATTTGTATTTTATCGGTCAAGAAAATTTACCTCTTGGACTGATGTTTCTAGATCAGTCTGAACTTTCTTAGTCTCGTCAGCAAAGTCAGGCATCTTAAACTGTTGCCGGTGTTGATGCCAGATGTGATATTTCATGCTTAATTTGTAGGACTTCTGTTTATAACAACGAATAAGAAAGCTAAAAAACAAATGTGAAAATTGGGATGCTGATATTTTTGGTCTTTACTTTATTGAACCGAGACCAATGAAAGGTGGTGACCTAGACGTAGTGCTGCTGATTTCACATCGCCATCGTTTTTTAAAATCCAAAAACTGACGTCTGATTCATTTCCCACCCCCCTTTTAACCTCGCTCGATAAAAGTCTGCATCTGGGTGGTTGTGACGGGTGTGCCGAATACAGTGCATCCAAATTTGACACCAGATCTGCACCAATTCATTTTTTTTGGGTACTTTTAGAATGAGCGTGACGTTAAAGCCGTCGGCGGTTCAAAGCCTGCTACTGGATCTGTTCATTTTTGCGAGCGGTGGTCAGTGAGATCGCAGGATGCGGCAGCCCACTCGTAGCCTTAATTTTTTGAGTCCCACGTTTTCACGCAATGGCCGTGCAGCAGAAGGCAATAACGCTCGAATCCGCTCCCCGCTGTTAATATCCTGTTCCTCAAAGCTGTTTGCAAGATCTGCAGTGGAGATACGCTACGCAAGTACGCCCGTCGAGGTGTGTTGATTCTATGACGGCGTTGTGGAAGTCGCATCTGCGTGTTCAAATATTATTTATCAACGTCGACATTCTTCATTACGGCCGGGGTCTTGCGTCGCGCATCGGAGCATGCAGCCACGTTAACAGCTTCACAGCTGATGGGCAAATTGGCAGGAGCAGCTGTGGCTGAGTTCACACCTTGTTGCGTACAATGAAGGGCGGTGGTGCCAGTGGGGTGGTGGCGATGGTCGTGGTGGTTTCTATTTTCGCCAAATTTCTTTCGTGTCCTCTCCTTGCTATTCCGCGGGAAAGCACGCAGAGGCTGAGTTTTCATTGCACCGGCCCGAGTCTCGTGACAGTCCCCATAAAAAGTATGTACGAATATAAATAAATAATGTAGCCAGGCCCTTGTCAACTGATTAGGATATGGGTGACAGTTGGGTGCATGTAGTTCTCATGTGTTTGGTATGCACGTTGCGCCAGAGCGCAAACACCCTGCCCGTTCCCAAGATCACTTCGGGCTCGGCTCGACAATTCCAAATGAAGTTTAAAGGAACAAACTTTTTAACGACGTTGAAGAGTCCACAGCAACAGCACAATGTGAGGTGGATGCTGTTGGTGAGTGATGCACGGGAAACAAAACAACGCCCACTTCGCCACGTTCGTTATTAAGACTGCCTAACAACGGAGATTTTATATATTTTGTATAGGCTGATGTTTCAGGCAACGACCCATCATCAGAGTGGAGAGCAGGCAGAGAGATTGACTTTCAGTTGGAGATCGTTACTTTGCGCCCAAGGGGCTCGGCGTAAACAGAGAACGGTTATATATTTTTTTTTTATGAAAGTTGATCAATGAACGGCTTTGATCGGAGTGTTCCTTCGTCTCCAGTGGCGTCGTAGGCCAGCGTGGCCCCCCCAAGAGTGAACCCTCCGGTGGTGCCGTAGGCCAGCGTGGCCCCCCAATAGTGAACCCTCCGGTGTAGTCGTAGGCCAGCGTGGCCCCCCCAAGAGTGAACCCTCCGGTGGTGTCGTAGGCCAGCGTGGCCCCCCCAAGAGTGAACCCTCTGGTGTAGTCGTAGGCCAGCGTGGCCCCCCAAGAGTGAACCCTCCGGTGTAGTCGTAGGCCAGCGTGGCCCCCCAAGAGTGAACCCTCCGGTGGTGTCGTAGGCCAGCGTGGCCCCCCAAGATAGAACCCTCCGGTGGTGTCGTAGGCCAGCGTGGCCCCCCAAGAGTGAACCCTCCGGTGGTGTCGTAGGCCAGCGTGGCCCCCCCAAGAGTGAACCCTCCGGTGGTGTCGTAGGCCAGCGTGGCCCCCCCAAGAATGAACCCTCCGGTGGTGTCGTAGGCCAGCGTGGCCCCCCCAAGAGTGAACCCTCCTGCACAGTCGTTTTTAGAACTCTGCTTGAGGAGCACTTTTGTACACTTCCTGCGCATAATTTTTGTCGTTTTTCCCCCTTGCACCAAACGCTTATCTGCGAACCGCTTTGCATAAGCCCCCGCGCGCCACGCGCGTTTTAGTCCGCGGTTATCGCCGCCGCCCCCTGCGTCTTATCGGTCGATCTCCCTACCCGCGCGTCCGTCTGCCCCCCCCCCCCCCGTCGTCGTCGGTCTGTCTGACTGCGAGGCCGTCTCGGTGTCTATCTGCGCGCACGTTTGGCGCGTATCTTGCGATCGCTCGTCGGAGGCGCATTTTATCGGATTTTGCATCGGGTTCTGTCTGTGCGGCTGTTTGTGCGAGCGAGCGAGCGAGCGCGCGGCTGGGTGGTCTTTACCGTCATTGTGGGGTTCTCGCCCGGAGAGCAAGTTTTAGCGGCAGCGCAAGCCGCCTGGCTCCCCCCTCCGCCAACCCCACCACCTCCACACCACCTCCCCTCCAACTACCCACCAACCACAAGAAAAGCGATAATTAATTTCGATGCCGACGGCAGGACGCTCGTCATCGACCCAGACAAACAATTACCGTCTTCTGAGTGGAGCGCCTCTCATGGCTGCAAGATTCCTGTGAACCCATTTCAAACAACAACAACCACAACATATGATATGAATCAAACACCACGGATTCTTACCCACCTGCTGCACCGAACGACTCATAAAGCACGGGGATCGATTTTAAACGCCGCATCGATGCAGTTGTTGCAGTGAAGATGCGTTGGAGTGGGCGA